AATTGAGGCAGTGGTAGCAGGAATGAAGAGAATGCACCAAAAATAAAAGTTCTGCACTTACTATTGGGATGTTTTGCGTAAGAGGTTTAAATGCCGGTGTGATGAATTCAAATTTGGCTTCTGCACATTTGTCATTCACAATACCTTCAATATGATAGGCACGAACATCATACCTTGATGTCAACAAAATATGACAAGGGTAGCGCCCAGGGCCAAAGGGAATAAATCGTAAAGGGACTGGAACATATCCAAGTGCAGCTATCAAAATGAATAAGATAAAAAGCAACAAAGAAAAAGTTTGTTTTGCAATGTCATAAAACCTTAAATTCATTTTGTCAAAAAAATATTGAATATTATTTTATTAGTTAGAATAGACTATAGTGAAGGTTGGGCAATCTACTTCCGTAGTGATACTCCCTCAGAAAACCAAGGAGGGGTCGCTATGAGTCAGGGCTGACTCGATGGCACATAACAACAACAAACAACAATGTAACACTTCACCCCAAAACTTCCAGGACTTATACAGAAATTTATTTCTCAATCACAGCACTGAGTTCAGGAACCAGGCTGTGAAAGATGCCACTACATTGAAGCTGCGTCATTAGGAACATGTCTTGATTGAGAAGGCATGAAAAGAGTGGCTGGAATAATGCTCAAAAGCTTTTCACTGCTTGACCCCAAAGTGAACCACGTTGCGTTTAATTGGCCAGAAACAGCCACATGGCTCTACCTAACTGAAATGGGGCTGAAAAATGAGAGGATATATAGAATACTTAGTAAGCATTACTGTCTGCCACTTTTCTATAACTTAGGGGTGGACTGTCTCTATGTTGTTGTTGTTATGTGCTGTCGAGTCAGATCTGACTCATAGTGATCTCTCCTTGGGTTGCCGAGGCAGTATCACTAGGGAAGTAGATTGCCCAACCTTCCTTCTGAGGAGTTGCTGGTGGGCTTGAACTGCCAGACTTCTGGTTAGCAGTCAAGGGTCTTAGGCACTACGCTACCACGCTACCAGAGCTCCTGGACTGTCTCTATAGCAATCAAAATAATATGTAACTTGGCCATCAGAAAGAATTTTAATCAGGAATACTTTTCATATCACCTGATGATTACATTTACCTTAAGCTAATAGCTACTGTCATTTTTCAGGAGCTCTGGTGGTGTAGTGGATAAGGCATTTGGCAGATAACCAGAAGGTCATTGGTTCAAACCCACCAGCCTCTCTGCAGAGGGAAGACAGGTCAATCTACTTCTGTAAAGATTTACAGCCTCAGAAACCCAATGGGGGTCTCTATGTGTTGGAATCAACTTGAGAGCAGTGAGTGAATTAGTGTCATTTTTATGCTGGCCCAGCTATCTGCTGTTTTGGTCATCTATGCTGGCTCTTTCAAACACCATTTTTTTCTCTGAAGGTCACCATTTTCTTATTCTTATACTGCTCCTATTCTATATTGTACTAAATGTCTCAGGTAATACAGTAAAATGAGAAATATAATTAAAATGTATATGAATTATAAAGGAGTGAAGGAACATCCTTGTTTGAAGACAAAATAATGGAATATATACAATATATCTTTGAATATAAAGAGAATTTATTAGATTTTATAAGAGCTTTTAGCAGCACTGAAGAAATGCTATTAGAAGTAAAAATTAACAACCTTTCTATAT